TCATCAAATTTAAGTTTTATTTAACTTTCTAAAGGAATTTTTGAGAAATTTCTGGGAATTTTTAGAGGTTTTTTTAAGGGCTTCATTTCAAAAAAACTTTGGAAAATTTTACTTTAAAACTTTAATATTAAAACATTTCAATTTTTCTTAATTTAATTTTTGCAATTTTCAAACAAAATATCTTTCACTTCATTTTTTAACAATTTTCACAATTTTTCAACAGAACACACATTTCAAATTACAAACAGTTTACATTTTTTTCACATACCACTTCACTTTTTCACCACTTTAATTTCCTTCAAGCAAACATACATCTCTTGATTGGCTCAGTTACTTAACTCCCTAAATAATTGATATTACTACCTTTAGGATTTTTAATTTAATTTAATTTAATTTAATTAATATTAATATTTACAAAAAAAAATTTACTATAACAAAGATAGCAGCTTGACACTCAACTTTACCTACATAAGCGCCATCTATATAATTTGAAGAACACACTTACTTCTCTTTCACAACACTTTTGCAGACCCCAAACACTCATATAGTAGGTAAGTTAGAATTAAAACTTACTATTTACTTGCTTTAAGTATTTAAAAAAAATTTTTTTATGTAGTATCTAAGCATTTTCTAAATATAAAATTATATTTTTAAATATATATTTATTTTAAAAATTGTGAATTAGTTCTTTTGTTTCTTTTTTTTTTATTTCTTATTGGTTATATGGATTATGTATAGTTCTTTTATAGTTTCTTTTTATTGATATGCATATTCGTGTAGGGGAAGTTTCTGTAGACAAGGATTTCTAAAATACATTGGGTTTCTAGATTTTTTTATTATTTTATAAAAAATTAATTTTTAAAAAAATTTAATTTTTTAAGAAAAAGTTTAATTCTTGACTTTACTTGCTTGTTTCTCAAAAGACTTAATTAGTATTTTCCTTTTTGAACTTTAATTTTTAAATGTTAATTTCTAAGGGTACCACTTTATTGGAATTACTTTTGGTTTTGACTTTTACCCTTGGCTGCATGAATGACGAAACACGAATTGAATGATTGGAGAGTTAGGTTTGGAGGCAACTTCCCCTTGATAAGTCTGTCTCCTGCCTACTCTACGATCATTCACATATGCATTTTTTTAAAAAAAATTGTTTAATTTAATTTTAATTTATTAAATTAGTAGATTTATTTTCATGGATAGATTTTGCACTTGATTTGTTTATGCTTCTGAATTTAAATGATATTGTAGATTAGTTCGAGAATTAAATCTTTTACATGTTTGCATATTTTTAAAATTATTTTAAATTATTTTGTCTTTTTTTAGAATTTAAATTTGCTTTTTTACTTTTTTACTTTTATACGTATTTGTTAAGAATTTAAATTTGTTTAAATTTAAATTTATTTACTCAATAATTATTTACAAGAATTATTCATTCTACTATTTTATGATGAATTACATAGATAGGACTATGCTTTTACTCGCAAAGCTGTTGGACTTTGTTTTACTCAATTAAGGCACAATATCACGCCGAACAAATACTAATTCAGAAGTTAAACAACAAAAACCAGCGTTATATTTTCAAATTTTCACAGGACTAGTTTCGATGGTTTTACCGAACCACCATGCTCAGCTGCGAAAGCGCAAATGGTTTTACTCATTTATTATTTTATCATCTCATTTTACTATTCTGTTTACATGAAATAACGGCGTTTCACTACTGCAAAACTTTAAAGTTGCTATTCTGTTTACGTTTAAAAATCACATTCTAGTGCTTTCATTACCGCCAAAAAAAAAAATTCGCCAAATTTTGAAGGCGAAAATAGTTTGACGCCAACTTACCTCGCTTATGGAATTTTAGCCGAAATATTTATAAGTTGCCAAACCAGGAAACAAAAACGTTTGACACTTCAGGTTAATACGCATACATATGACGTCATGATTTAAATTTAAGGTAATATAACAACTTTTTCTCAATATCAATAAAGAATTAACGTGGCAATAACATACCGTGTCAATTATCCTAATCTGAAGCAAAAAAGTTGCCAACAGCAGCTATTTATTTAAAATGCTGATATTAACGAAACGTTTTTGACGATGTCATATGCAAGCGTGTGCTTTCTTCAGCGTCAGAATATGACATTATATTATAATAACATCTCGTCAACTTATTTTAACTTACCACGCCTCACGGCCAGGAGGAAACGGCGTACGCCAAAGTCTTCATCTCCTTTCTTCTTGCTTAAAAAGCAGAATTGCTACATTGCTAATAATAACATATTTAATGTTTGGCAATGCTATTTTTATTTCATATTTTGTAAAACTTACAGAATTAACAAACGATTTGAAAGCGAACAGTGACAACACTTTTAGAAATAAAGCAGATTTTTATAGCCAGCGTGCAAGACTGTTGCCACTCGGAAAAATAAGTACGAAAATTAGCGTTTTCAAAGTTTTAATTAATAACTCGGCTGATTTGGCCGAAATGGCTTCTCAGGAATTTTTGGAATCGGGGGGGGGAACTCAAGTCCCCGCCGTTCCGGAGATGATGGATTCCGGAGATGTTTCCTCCTTTTATTTTTAAAGAATGATGCTTTTGATATGTTCATGCTGCTGATACATCAAGAACTTTATTATATCTTAAAATACACAAAATGCCCAGAATTATATGCCTTGATTAGTTAAAGCAACGTCTTAGCGTTGTATGCTGCTTTAGTTTTTGCTCTCAACTTCAGCACAGATGAAAATAAGGAATCCAATGCCATTTGTTAAAAATTTTAAAAACTCTCCGGCAGGGAATTTTTGTTGCAGACGAAAAATATACCCAAAAAGAGAGGCCCGTTCTAACAAGATGAAAGATTTATCAGGCGCCACAGTAACAATCCGGGCAATACCATAATTCTATGAACGAAAGAAACTACATGATCTAAAATAATTGTGTTCTACTACGAGAAGGGGGCGAAAATAAAGGCCACTTCAAATGTACTTCAACGCCCGATTCGCAAGTATCTACTTGATTAGCTGCACTTCAACAGCTTGGTGACAATACTATCAGGATATATGATCCCCCCACAGTTGACGAACGTCATTTTCGGTTTTACCACGTTTGCGTCAAAGCTTGCTTGCCACTGTTAATAGCTTTCGTCGTCGTAAGATTAAACCGATAGGAACGCTTTTATAAATGGATCTGTCAGAAGCAGAAAGTTCAAGTGGTCTTTCCTTCGAAAGCTACTTCCCCTTGTTTAAAGTCTACCGGCATAAACTTTTAACAAAGAACAGAAAGCAGGAATTTCTGCGGCATTTTCTATTTTCTTTTCTCAAACAATTAAAACTAATACAATTTTCTTTAAAAAAAGGGTAATTTTATTTTAAAGAACTAAAGAAAGAAACGTCACTATTTTCAAGCTATAACTTTATCATAATACTATCCAATTTATAACACGTTTTAAATAAAATCAAAAAAGAGCCTCCTTATGTGTAATACATACCATGTTAGTTTATTTTTAACTTTCAGAAATCAAGTTATACCGAAATAGTTTAGCATATTGATTTCGGTATAATTTTTAGCTCCTAAAAGCTATTTCGTTTTTTATCTATGAACACCGCAGCAAGTTTGGAGTTTATACTAAAAAAATGCACAGTGCTTCAATCAATTTATAGATAGTGTTCAAACTACTAATTACTACATAACAGGTGACAATAGGAAATAAAATAAAGTAATAAATGTAACATCCCAAATACCTTAAAAGAAAAACTTCTGGAGCATAGAAATAATAAAAATGGAATGAAAAATATTACTTCGATCATCAGATGGGTATAATAACTAGAATTCTTTCCAGCACAGACTAAAAGGGAATAGAAGGCTGAATGGCCAAGATATTATAAACAAGTGGCCACTATTAAAAAAAAAAAACTGGATTTAATACATACCCTTATCACCTGCAGACTTCTTCCATCCGTGGTTGAGATGAACCATTCACTATAATGAGCGGTCATTATAATGAGCACTGCCTGTAGCTCACTTGAGTCAATACTAACATTTTTCCTGACAACAGCAACACAAAGAGATATACTGACGGTCTATCTATCTTGATTTAGGTAATTTTGGAGAACACTTTTTTAAAGTTACTGTGACTCGTACTTACGATACGCCCAAAAATCTCCGAGCGGCAAAGTCACCGAACACTGGTAGTTTGGCAGTGGCTCGAATCCCGGCGAGTGGGCTGGTTGCATACGGTTTTTCGTGGTTTTCCCTCATGTGTAATGTGTACATGAGGCAGTTTCCCTTACAAAGTCTTCTATGAAGGCATCCCTCTCCTTAGGCAAATACTCCTAGTGTGCTTTGCCATAATCTACCAAACCAAACTCTCAGAAAGTCCTCCATAAAGGCATCCCCTCACCTAAGTTGACAGCCCTGCAGTGCTTTGCCATAATGACATAATAACCGTATTTACGATACAAACAGAGAATCTTATGAAACATCAAGCAAGTTGCGAATAAATCGAGATACTTACTCAGCCACTCAAACTTTCAGTTTACGCAAATTTTGAATAATTAACAAGATAGATAGATTTACATACAAAATAATTACTACCTTATCTTCAATACAAAATATTTGCCTTGAATTTGGGGGGTGTTTTTTTATCTTGAGAAGTAAGCTTAAGACCTTTTTTTTACCGCGAAGGAGGGTAGCTATGAATTCGAAATGAAATAGAAAAAATTTTCTTGAAAAAAAATAAATAAAAAAGGGAACTTTTATTTTCAAGTTTCCCTTTAGAAATCACTAAGATTTAGTTAAATTGTCTAAATAAAATTATAACAAATATTTCACCATTATTTTGCTTCACTAAACTAAATTTATAACACAGTATAAATAAAAACTTAATGAATTCAAACATTCCAATGGATATTCGCGTCAACCAACAACAATTATTAGATTTCATAAAAACAGTACATGTATTCATTAAAACAGAAATGTACTTCCAAAAATAAAGATAATTAACTGTCAAATGTATAACAGTTCTTGTTAGAAATTCGTAGATCACAGCTGCATTCAGTTAATTTCTTTAAGCAAAAATGCAAAATAATTTTCAGAAGACACTGTTGATTTCAATGTAAAAATTTCCTTTCTGGTACAATGCAGTAACTATACAGAATCCCACTTTAAGGCATTTTTAAGGATAAAAGGCTCAAAATCTAAAACATCATTAAGCATGCATACAATCCTTATCAGATAAAGGTCGAACATAGCTTACACTAGGCTGATAAGTCAAAATCTAGAAGTGTTGAGTGAAAATCTTGAATTCTCAATAACATGCAATCACACCATGTCTGCCTCAATTTCGAAATTCATTATTGCGACAGGACTTATAAGAGCAAAAAATAAACTTTTCTTTTGGGGGGGGAGGGGAATTCCAGAGTGTTCCACAATGCAACATTTTCAAATTTCGTTCTACCTTTCACTAACATCTTTACATTCTCCAACCTAGTGTTTGTATAAAAAATACAAATTAATTTTACCCTTTTTAAAGACCTCAAATTATCATACATAATACCCCACCATATGATTTTGAAGTTTTCAAAATTTACCTATTTTACATAGTTAAATACCTTGATTATTAACATGAAGATTACTTCCTACTATCACCAGCAGATATTTTACATCCTGTCTTCCCCCCCCCAAAAAAAAACATTATTAGAGATTGACCATTCCTTGGTAACTTGTCAAGTTATTTCTCATTGTGGCAAATAAAGATTATCTGGACAGTAATTTTTTCCTTTCTGCTAACTCTCAGATTTAAAATTCCAAACATTTAAATTAGCTAATACTTGAAATTACAATACAACTGTCATATCTACCGAAGCTCCTGGGTTCAAATCCCAGAGAAGGCAAGGATGCAAATTGTCTATCCCTTCAAAAAAGGTAACGGTGGCTGCCTATTAGGTGCCTCCATAATAAAATAACCACTACTTCTGGCCTTACTAGTTGCAAAAGCCTAAAAATAAATAATGCCTGCCATTTAAAAAAAATAAAAATATCTTATTTCTATATCGAGGAGGACCTAATTTTACTTTGACAAAGTAGCAACTGTAGCCGAGACTGGTAAAATAACCTTTCTTGATGAACGAACCTTTCTTACATTAAACAATAATGAAATATAATTATCATATCCACATTTATGTAACTGAAGGTTGCTCATCAAAAATGGTAATTTTAGCCCTCCATCCATAACCTCTATCCTATCACAGCAGAAAAATTATTAAACCGGATGACACTGGCAGACTTTCATCTCAAGCACATTTCGTTGCAGACTCATAAAGCATTTTTTTAAATATGCAGAAATTAATTATACAATGAAAAAGTCAAAAAAATACAGTCTGTCTATCATAAGAAAAGCTCTCACCAGTAGTAGGTTTGCAACTGTCTGTTGCCACAGAAACGAACCTTGAACCATTTTCCATATGGGTGTTTTGAAGATGAATAATAAACTCTTTTCTCCTCAGTCAACAGTTGGCAAAAACATAATAACAATAAAGCAACCCTTGATTCGCCACTATGTGAAATTAAGTAGCCCTGCTGCTATAGCGACCGCCATCCACCACACACCAGACACTGTAGCGGGAGCTATTCTTCTTGTAGACAGACAGTATAGCCTTTCAGAAAGGGAAGCATATAATACTTATTCGAAAAGAAAATTTAAAAAAAATTGGGGAAGCATCTGCCACAAAACATCTGAACGTAAATAATACAAAAATAGCAAAGTGTGAGCTAACAAATCACGAATCTAAAAGGCTCCTTTCTAGCTCAAAAATTAAAAAGTTATTTACAGTATAGGAACCATTACTGACAGACTTCATATACAGTCAAAAGTTGTTAATTCGGACACCCATAATCCAGAATAATCTATAATCCGGACCTCGAAGCTACAAACTTTCACGTTGACGCATGCGCGTAAGACCTTTACGGCTGCAAATATGCATGTGCACATGTGCGTTTAATGTATAACGGACGGTACAAGTTAAGCTAAAATTATCTAATTCAGTTAATGTTGCAGACTGCATTGTTCCTTAATCTTCGAATTGGATCCGGCTTATTATTTTTTGCAGACTGTTAGACCAATTTTATAAAAGTAAGCTTGAACTTTCGATTATGTCAAATAGAATTTCCTATATATATTTACTAATATGTAAAGGATCTACAAAGCGAAAGTATGTTTCGAAGTTCATCAAACAAAAAGTGGAATTGCTGCAAAAAATGGATAAAGGCATATCCTTTCTTTCTCTCTAACCATTCCGAAATCTATTTATCAATTTCACGCTGCTCTGCGGGAAGGGGGGGACGCTGCGGCGCGCAATGAATTTAAAGTTGATCTGTCAGCACTATCCTTATCTGGCTTATAATTCCTTACTAAATGTAGTATTTCATCTCCATGTACTCGGTCTTTGATATTGATATGATTTAAATCAAGTTCCTCATCATCATAATTCACTTTGGATAGTGAAGAAAGTGACATAGAGGTTATTAAAAACAAAAACATTTCCATTGACAAATTAGTCGGTATTCTCGACACAGCAATTATAGGACTTGAACAGCGGAACTTTGTAACTAAACAAGAAATTATGTCTGTTTAATAGAATTAAAGAGAAAGTATTATCACATGAAACGAAGCAACTTAAACAACTTACATTGAAAGAAATGTTTAATATAGTAAACAAATAAATATTAAGCTTTTCTTTTTTTGTAAATTTTGATACCCTTTAGATCATAATTGTTCTTTACTTCATAAATTACGGCTTCATATTTTTAATTTTATAATTTCTGCATGCCATCTTACCAGATTTAAACTGATGATCTATAATCCGGAAAAAGCGATAATCCGGAATCGCTGAAGTCCCGACAAGTCCAGATTAACGACTTGTGACTGTATTAGGAATTACTCAAAGCCAAAAAAGCAAAGAAATTCACCGGGATTTTAACCGGGATTTCATGGGGATTCTAACTAAGGGCCATCCCACTGCTAGCCAGACGTGCTTCCCATTAAACCGCGAAGGTATGTGGTACGACGGGAGAAAATACATTTTATTTTCCTTCACTTAAAGGGAAGAAGGGCCTCAATTGGCAAATTGTGAGGAATTATCGCCCACCAATGTTTTAGTTCCAGAGCCACTTGTAGAATTATTTAGAATATTTTTTAAGCCTAGAAACATAAAGAATCAACGACGCACTTGCCGAGACTCAAACTTCATACCTTCCAATTGCTAGCCAAGAGTGCTTTCAATTACACCACAATGGCAGGCAACAAGGAGGGAGAAAAATAAATGCCTTACTACAGATCTAATACATAATCTGAAGTATCATTTATCCCTGAGGGTGCTAAATTATAAATTAATTAAACAAAATTTCTGTATCAAAATAAACAGGATAACACATAGAACTTGTAAAATGTTAAAGATTGAGAAAGATTAACCTATGAGATTAAATCTAATTCTAAAAATACTCTGCAATAAAACTAAAAGGAAGACATATTCTTCTTTACTTCCTTGATTAATTTAAGAATTATGAAATGATCTGTAAAGTTCTATAAGCATGACAAAGATGTGATTTCTACAAACTTCAAAGTTCAATAAGGTATGCCTAGACTTATTATTCCTCAGATTTAAACAAAGAAAGAGAAAGCATTTCTGATGAATCAAGGAAGTAAAGAAGAAGCTTGGAGTTTAGTTGGTAAATAAACAATTTAAAAAATCTGGGCATTAAAAAATCAAGAATGTTATTAAAGACTTTAATTATAAAAGTCTAATATTAAAATACAGAGTCATGAAACATATAATGCAATTACGAGTCTCAAAATTCCTCTCCTGAAGAACCACTTGAAAAATTACCTGAAAATTTAAAATAGTAACAAAGATTGTTTATTCTAAATGTATTAGTTTTAGTATTAGTGCAAAAAGTATTATCAATGAAAATGGTAAAACATTCAGAAATGACAGTAGAAACTTTTATAGACAAAATTATTCATTTTATAAAATTTCCCTTTTTGACATAAACTTCCGATAAATTTTTTAGTTGCAGAAATATTTAAATACTATGAAAACTCTGGTATTACTATATGGAGATGTCTGTAGGAAATAAGGGCATATTAAGGATAATAACGTTGGTTTTTTTTAATTCTGGTAAAGCACTCAAGAGTTATCTTAAAGCAGAAGAATACCTTTGTAGAGGGCTAATAAACAGTATCATCCCACCAAGGCTTCTTGCATCCATACACATTCACCTGCTAAATATATTACCATATGACTATTTCCCAAATTCTATTTCCCCAAAAAACAACAAAGCTATAAAAGTAACAACAGTCATAGTTGGTCGGTTAACTGGTTCCTCTGACACAATTAAATAACCACTGGGCTTATATACAGGGTGGGTGTAATGCAACACCCTATTATTAATTTGGAATGAAAATTACCTTGTTTTGTAGACTGTAGTGTGGCCTTATTCTTTATTTTTAATATTTCTTCCTTTTTCATATGTCTAACATTTTTTTTCTTTTTCGCCCCCCCCCCAAGAGCCACTGAATGAGAGATGTCACATTGCTTAAGCATTCAGGAAGGTGAAAAAATTGCAGTAAAGTATGAGGTGTGGCAATCTCTAATGCAGGTTTAATGGTTGGTGGAGGAGTGAACATGAGAAACATGCTATTTTGGATGCCAAAGACAATTAAAAATTGTCATAGGAAGTTACTGACGACCAGTACTGTTGTAGCTACAAAGTAATCAGGTTGGCCCTCAACCTCGTTGTCAGAGGAAAAGGTGGTCGCAGTGAGGGAGAAAAAACAAAATCCATGAAATGGTGCTCCTGATGAGTTGTTGCAGAAAGCCATAGCAAACGTACCTGTTCGTTTAGGACAGTGTACAGAAAATACTGGGGCACAAATTGAATTGAAACTCTTGTAATTATCATGCCACACAATAAACTAAATGTGTACAAAAACTGCCTACATACCTACATTCGTTTAGGAGAAAAAAATTATTTCCAATAGGGAGTTACTTTCAGCCCACCCAGAATACTTGACTATGTTATGCAATTAATTTATGTGCACTTTTTTGTTATTATTTT